CCCCAACCCCCCAGGTGTTTTGGCACATCCTCACGAAGCTGGCCTACTATCGGGAGCTCACCCTTCGCGTGGAGCAGCTGCAGTCGCGCGGCCTCATGGACGCACACGGCGCCGCGCTCGCGGCGCCCGCGGGGGCGGAGCAGGAAGAGGGAAGCGGCGGCGGCGGCCACCACGCGCGCGGGACTGCCGGCGGCGAGGACAGGGCGCGCAAGGGGGCCGGCTCGGGCGGCGGCGCGAACGGCGCAGAGGGCGCCAGCGGCGGCGGCGCGGCGGCGGCGGCAGCGGCGGCGCCAGCTGCGCCTGGCCCTGGCCAGGGGCAGGGCCAGGGCCAGGGCGTTGACGCGGACGGCTTCAGCCGGCAGCTGCAGCAGATATTGAATGCGGACCTGACCGCGGCGGCGCTGGCGCAGGGCACGCTGGACAACATCCCCCTGGGGCCGCTGGGCACGCTGATGCCGCTGCTGCAGATGGCGGGAGTGCTGAACGACCCGGCCATCAAGGCGGCGCTCAAGCAGGTGCGGGGGCGGGGGCGCGCAGTCAGGGCGGGCGCCGCGGCGCTCCGGGAGGGGGGCAGGAGCTCGCCGCTCGGCCGCAACGGCCGCCTGGTGCCCCTGTCTGCAGTCCTGAAGCTTGGCTGCCCTTGCTCTGTGCACACGTCAACACCCGCGTGGCCTAGCGATTTCATTGATTTGTCCCCCTTCTCAACACACACACACACCCAAACACAAACACGCGCGTGTGTGCCCGCCCCCAGGTGCGTGAGGCCCAGGAGGCGATGGTGGTGTTGGACCGCTGCCACGCGCTCAAGGTGCAGGCCATACAGAAGGAGTACCAGGACTTCATGGAGCGGATTCGCAACAAGGCGCAGGGCGCGATTGACAGCGCCAACAGGTAGGTGCCCCCGGGGGTTGTGCTGGGTTGTGAGGGCGCGACTGAGGGAAAGCGAGGGGGGGAGGCGGGGCGTTGGCTGGCGGGAGGTTGCTGCGCAGCACGCGGTGCTGCGGCAATTGGGGGAGGGGTGCGCTTTGTGCCGGCCCCGCCTTGCCTGCTTGCTGTGTCGCGTGCCGCCGCCCTTCACGCAGGCTGCCTCCGCCCTCGACCCCAAAGCCTGCCCTGCCTCATCACATCCTCGACCATCTCCCCTCCAACGTCGAACGTCTCTCCCTCCCCTACCCGCACTCCCCAACACACACACACACACACACACACACACACACACACTCAATCACAATCACACAATCACACAATCACACAATCACACAATCACACACACCGCCCACACACAATCGCAACCACAGGGATTACCAGTCCAAGAAGACCATCCTGACCGCGCGCATCAACGTGCTCGTGGACTACCTCAACCAGGGCGTGCCAGTCCAGCAGCTGCAGCAGCTTGCGGCCCAGGTGCAGCGCGCCCAGATCGCCGGCGCCGCCAGCGCCGAGGAGGCCGCCATGATCATCGCCGCCGCGGCCGCAGGCGCGCCCGGCGCCACGGGCGCGGGCGCCCCCGGTGCTGTGGGCGCGCTCGACCCGGCGGCGGCGGCGGCGGCGGCGGCGGCAGCAGCAGCGCCTGCGGCGGCGCTGGGCGTGGCGCCCGAGCCGCAGGAGCAGCTGCTGG